AAGTTACGGAAGTACGAAATTCCTGCCACAGTAGCTTATTTTATAGCTAGATTTGCTTGTTTTGCTTCAAAGCTAAACTAGAGTACGCGTTTTTTCAAAGCGTATTTCAGCTAGCTGAAGTATCTCAGTACATTATTTCCATTAACGAATGAGTGAACATGCCAAGGGCAGTATGGTCACCATTATCAAACTCTTGCTGAATTATGGTATTGAGATAATGTTGACATTATTTTTTCAAGATCCCGACTGCAGCATAAAAAGTTTTACCCTCTCATTGTGAGTAGGATGCGGAAAAGCTGTTATCTAGTTTGAACTCGTTGCGGAAGAAACCGTATCTCGCTACTCCCTCGAAAATTCGTAGACTCATAATGGCATTTCTGATGAGCGTCTTATATAAAAAGTGCCTCAATAATTAGTGTGATGGTTTATGTAGAAGAAATATAAAAATCAAAATCCTACAAAAATAGAGTAGGAAAAACTCTCTGGCGCTTACAGCTTTAGATGCCCTAATGCGATCAAATTCATTGATACCCTACAGGAAACGAGTGTTTTTGTCAGCGTATTGAAGTGACTTGCATGGACTAGCCGGACTTCTAATCAAATTCTATCTTTCGCTGTACTTTGGCACCAAACTCCGACTTCAAAGACTGTAATGTATCTTTTGAAGATGGGATCCATCTATGTCCCTACTAGTACGCAGTATATTCTGCCAATAAAATCAGGTAGCTCACTAACTCTATAGAACAGATTTTCTGAATGTAACAAAAAATACAACATTAGCAACTAACATCAACTGAGATATCGCTAATGCCTCAACGAAATAAGAAGCGTAAAGGCAGTTGCTACGGACCAAACTTGCAAATTTGCAAAGCTTTGGGATAGGATAGGAAGAACCTGCGTAAGCAAAAGAAGGCCCTTATTACTTTTCAATACCACATACCGTTTTTATATCTTTGCATTTTTCGCCCAATCTACTATACCGAACAATATTATCAGATTTTTGACTCAAGGCATGATATTATCTATTCTAAGCCCTTTCAAGCTATCCCTTATTTTAATTCATCCACTTCATTCTTGCTCCTCTTTCTGGTAGAACTTGCGATACTGCCTTCTATTTGTATTACATCTGCTTTGTTGGAATGCCACTATCATTGCAGTCGCCTTTCCTTTTCTTCGCGACGGAAGCAATTTCATCCCACTCGACTGTACGCGTTAAAACCTAATGTTCACTATACCGTTCGCGGTTTCATGACACTAAGACTACAAGATTTTTTGCCATTATGCTCTGTCATACCGCTACTGGACAGATTATAGAGGAGGTCGAGATTTCTTCCTGAATCTTTTTTAACATAGGAAAAGTTCGACTTACTAGAGATTTAAAGAGGCGTTCTATATCCATCACATGACTTTTGAAGTTTGACTTCCCAATTCCCTATATTCTCCTTCCTTCAGCTTTACGCCGTACGATAATGATTAAGCTTTTTTTCCACATCCATTTTAAGTTCTATAAGTTTTTTCCTGCTTTCTGCTATCAGAGCCATATTATCTGCGTATACGAGATTATGCAGTTTCGTCTTTTGAGCGTCGCGCCAGGAAACCCTTGCTCTCATAACATCCACCAATTTGGCTTGTTAATGACAACGAAACTCATTTTGAAATAGTCTACAAAGATTTTGGGCTTTTTGGAAGATCCCTTCTTATAAATCCGCACGCCGAGCTGTTTTCACATTAATGACCACAAGAGCCAAATTGGTAGAATGTCGTTGAAGCTCAAATGTATAGCAAGCATTAACAGATTTGAATGACGGAAATTGGAAAAACAAATAATTTTAAATTGCCATCAATAACCGTTTTAGTGTTAACTCAGAGACCAAGCGGAGAAGAGGCCAGCTAGCTCTCTATAATTTAAAACCATGTGTAATTACTTCCAGTTTCAATTTAAAGTGACTATAGCTCGAGCTTGCGCATCTGCATCGCTAGAAAACCGCGCCATATTGCAACAGAGCTTTGACATTC